CTGATTTCATTTTTTCCAGATCCTCTTTTGTTGCCAGTTCAGGGAGTCCAGGTGGTTGGGTATCACAGTGTTCCATCTTGTTTCCCTTTGGAGTTGTTTTAAGTGATCTTGAAGTCTGGTTTTGAAACTTGTTTATATGTCTTCTCATTTCAACAGGGGACGGGGGTGGTGGTGTGCTGCTGTCCCCCGCACGGCTCACCTCCTCTGCTGGCGGGGACGGTATGGTGGCCCGGAAGCTTTCTCCTGTGCACTGGGAGCGGCTCACTTCCTCTGTGCTGGGGTGGGTGGGTGGTACATCAGCCCAGAAACCTCCTGTGAGCTGGGAGCAGCTCACCTCCTCTGTGCTTGGCCTTCATTATTAATGGAAAATTGCTAGCCAGGGATTTAGCTCAGTAGTTTCACCACCTGCCTCGAAAGCGCAAGGTTCTAAGTTTGATCCCTGGTACCCAAATAAAAATAAAAATAAATAAATGGAAAATCAGAAAAGGATGGATATCTTTGAGAAAACTCAGTTACTGTAAAAACCCTTTGTATTATTGTTTACTGAGAATATATTAATGAACCTTTATTAAATGATCTTTTCCCCCTACTCAAGTTTAAATTGGAAGATGTTCACATAACTACTTGTTTTCTTTCTAAAAGAAGTAGTTATAGTTGTTTGAGAGGGCACTTAATTTGAGCTACTGTAGAATCGTGCTAGGACTGTGATCTTTCTATAAGAGTAGTACCTATTTACTTTTTTTCAAAGGGTTGTCATGAACATCAGACGAGGTAGCATGTTTTTAAATGCTTTAGAAACTTTAAGGCTTCTTAAAAATGAGTAGGCATTACCACAGCAGTATATGTGCACCTGTGTTTACAGTGGCACAGTTTGTAATAGCTAAAACTTGGAAACAGCCCAGTTGCCCATCAACTGGAGACTGGGTAAAGATGTGTTGTTTTTTTTTTTTTTATAAAATGGAGTTCAACTCAGCCATAAAGAATGAGAAACTAGAGCCATTTATAGCTAAATGGATGCATATTGAGGCCATCCTCTTAAGTGAAATAAATAGGACATACATGTGTAAATACCGATTAGTTTCTCTGGTGTGAGAAACTGAAAGTATAAATAAGGATCAAAATGTATAATAGATAATGTGAAATAGGAAGAAAAGGTCCAAAGGGAAGTGGAAAGGAAAGAAGGAAAAGGAATAAATATGAGAAAAGGAAAAAATGGAAACAAATAGGGAGGGGTGGAGGGGTTAAAAGGGGGCAGGGAAATAGGGAAAAAATAAGAACCAAGATATATTATGTAAAGGTACAAATTCCCAATGATGAATGTCATCATATTGTATACCTAAAATGTACCAATAAACTTAATGAGTAAAAAAAATGGTTAGACAAGAATGAGTTTACCTTTTAACCTCTAACAAACATTTTTATGCATAACAGGAATGAAAGAACACTTGTCAGTTAAGCTGATCTGTGATGATTGCAGAAAATGGCTCAATTTCAGACGAAAAATACAGGTGGAAATGTGTAGTTGAGATGAATAAAATGTGGCATTTATGGGGTGTTGTTCTTTTAAATTTCTAGTATAGGCTTTTCTCTCTTTTGGAACCACTGGGTTTCATTTATTTTGGTCTCTTTAATGTATTAGTGTACAAGTAATCAATTTAACATCTTGTTTTCTTTCGCACTCAGTAGTTTTTTTCAAATTTTTCTTGAAAGATCAGTGTCTTTCATACTAAGAATTGCATTTGTCTCACTGCAGCAAGATGAAGGGAATGTCCAGGCATTCACAGATGACAAAGATGAGAAGTCCTGGGAAACATCACAAGTGGAAAAATGATGGTGCTAAACAGAGACCAGTCAATGGATCAGGCAATCATTTCTGTGGTTCCAAGACTGAAAGTCCACCTGAGGCAAATGCAGATCCTCTTGGTGTTTTGATAAACAGTGATTCTGGTAAGCTGAGGAGGAAAATAATGTGTTTATAAGTGTGTACATGGCAATGCTGAAGTTGATTATGCCTAGTTTTGTTTGTGAAAATTTTAATGGCGAATACATAAAAATATAGAGAAATATACAGATATGCTTTCTTTCTTGTTGTTTTTTTTTGGTACTGGGGCTCGAACTCGGGACCTTACACTTGCAAGGCAGGCGATGGAACCACTGAGCTAAATCCCCAGCCCATCATTTTTGTTTTTAAGAGGAGTGATATTATCAAAACCCTTGTTTTGCAACATCTTTTCCTATGGGTGACTGCATAGGCCAGGCAGGCCATGAGATAAAGGTTATATTTTTCAGTAAGTCCCAAAGTATAGTGTAATCTTGGCAGTTTTCTAAAGATTTTTTTGAATTGCTGGAAATACACATTTGTTGATTTCCCCCAAATCTGTAAAGCAGTAATTCTATGGAAGCCAGTATTGTTTATGCTACTGAGCACAAGCATGATCTTTTTGGGCAAATAGTATTCATTGCATTTGCATAACAGTATTCTTCCTCAAAGGATAGAATATATTTATTTATGTTTATACTTCATCATGAAATTCCCTTTAGAATTTATAGGACAAGTTGACTCTTGTTTATAAGTCAAAAAACGAAAGCATCAGAATACTGCTATCATATACAGGTGTCATTCAGCCTCTGAGACTCCATTTCCTCTTCTAAAACAGAAAATGTATATGTAAATATTTCCAATACCATTCTGAGGCTTTTATGTAAGTATATGTGCTTCATATGGCTAGGAATACCCAAAGATTTTTAGTGAGAGGATTTCAATCTCTATTCAATAAGATGACAGTTACTTCCATGATAATCACATGGCAAGTTATTGAACAGATGGCAAGAAATGGGGAGTATAACTAATTCATTGACTAAATTAGGATAGAAGAGAATCTTGGCATAAGGGAATGTAGGGTTAAGTATAAGAATAAAATTTAACAGGATAGTAATACTAAATCATCTTAACACCAGCTAACCCTTACTGAGTAAGGTACTACTATGTTCCATATGCTTTATATGTGTTAATTGATTTCATTCTAACAGCCTTTTACATAGGTACTATTATAACTTCTGTTTTAGTGATGACCATAGAGATTAAGACATTCCTTAGTCATATTGCTAATTAGTGACAGAAGAAGAATTTGAACTTAGTACTATACATGTCCGCAAATGTGAAGTCTGAATTTGTCTAAAAATTAGTATGAATTTAGGATAATTGAAGTGGGAGAGAGTTTAGAAAAGGAACCTTTTCAGAGAGTAAGGAAAGGTGAATGATTTTTTGAGACAGTATTACACATACTCTTGGGGACTGACTTTTTTGCTTCAAAAAATTTTAGGGCGCATGTACTTCTTCAGATTACAATTTATGACCTTAGTGACAAAATATCATCTCTACCCCAAATACAACCTTTCATGTTGTTAAAAATTCATGCTTAAAATACAAATGTGAAGACTTCATTACAGTTGATAAGGTACAAACTTAAAAATGATATCCTTTACTTTGTGTGATTTTTTTTTTTCCTAAATGAACATTTGAAGGACTCTAATATTGAGTAGTTTTTGTTGCTTTTGTTTTGGTAACTTTTGATATTTTATCAATTCTGGGTTTTGTTCAATGTTTTGTTTTTTGTTTGAGGGAATTGAACCCAGGACCTCACACATGCTAGGCAAGTTCTATACCACTGAGCTACATCCCCAGCCTGTTTTTTTTTTGTTTAAAAGTATTTCATTATACGCCAATCTAGTAAAACAAGAACTAAAAGATAATAACTCACTTCTATTTAGACTTGTATCTAATTCCTTAAAAGACACTTTAGACATGAGAAACAATGGCAGATCCCTCTTATCCTCATTAGTAGAAAGTATTAGAAAGTATTCAGTTTGATTCCCAGGAACAATTGAAATGAGAGATTTCATTTTTCTTTTTCTTTTTTTTTTGTACTGGAAATCGAACGCAGGGCCTCATGTTTGCTAGGGAAGCACTGAACTACTGAGCTATATCCCCAGCTCTGAATGAGAGATTTCAAGTAATTGTGTTTTGGTTTAAATGTTGTAACCCTTACCTACAGTGAGGGCCATAGATAGGCACATGCTTGCTTTCTACCTCAGAGATGAGAACATTAGGCCTGAATATAAAACTCCAGCAAGGTGGGGGTGAGGGGCAACAAACAAATAAACAGGGGCTGATCACTAGAAACACCAGAACAGGATCAGAAGGTTGAGTCTTTCAGCACCACCAGACTTCCAGGAAAGGGAGAGGTGCTAGAGCTCAAGATGATTGCTGGTGCCCAGGAATTAATCACCATGCCTGTGTAGTAAAGCTTCCATAAAAATCAAAAGGACAGAGTTCAGAGATCTTGCAGATGGTAGAACATGTGAAGGTTCCTGAAGGATGGTAATCCCAAAGAGGATGTGGATGTTCCATGCCCTTTTCCTATACCTCACCCTATACATCCCTGCAACTGTATTTTTTTAAATAATCAATGTGTTTTAAAAAAATAAAAAGAACATGTTGTTAATATAATGCTAAAAAATGAACAAGAGAATCATGATGTAATAAGTTTTTGGTCATTGCATTAGATTTTTTGTTTTGTTTTGATCATTAGCAACATTATTGTGTGTGTGTGTGTGTGTGTGTGTGTGTGTGTGTGTGTGTGTGAGAGAGAGAGAGAGAGAGAGAGATATTTACCCTAAAAAAATGCCGCTAATATTTTAACAGTAAGAGAAATTATTTCAGTTGGTGTTTTATAATTCTAAAGTTTTATTTAATCATTTTGATTGCTACTATATACTGATATTTTTAGTTCAAAGGATGTTTTAGCTGCTTTTTAAAAAAGTGAGTGATTTTTTTTTGAATATTATTTTGTCAGCCAGTATAATACCTTCATCATAGTCTTTCCAAGATAGGCTCTAACAGTGCCTGCGTGGGGAAAAAACCTGAAAAGCACAAAATTTGAAAAATGAAAAAACCTACTTTCTTAATTTATGAAAATGACCACTGATCACATCTATTTAGAACTGCTGGGTAGATATCAGGGACTTTGAAATAAAATAGTTTGTTTTTTTGTTTTGTTTTTTGGTCATTATAGATGTTTGGATAGTACTAGAAAGACAATACTCCTTTTCAAAGAGCTGGGTCCCTTAAATATATAGTGGTGTTGGGAGGGGCAGTTGTCCATATTTATGAACTCTTAACTCTTATCCCTTGGGGAAGCAGTCAAGGTAGTGAGCTTTGTGACTTTCCCAATACCAAGTGTACCTACACTGAGATCATGGATTCCCAACACCATTCACCAGTCAAACCAAGGCCTCTTAGAGAAATGGCTGATTATGGGGTTGGAGGTAAGAAAATACAGGGGAAGCCTAGAGGACTTCATAGTATCAGAAAGTTCTCAAAGTACTCAACAATGTTGGCATGTCAGAAGAGTTTCCTAAAGAATTCTCAATGACCAAATTTGGATCAATTTGAGCCACAAAGTAAATAATAAATTATAATTGCCACCCCCAAAATTAAATATTCATGTCTGCTGGTTTAAATAAGTGCTTGAATAAACAAATATGAGTAAAAAAGAATGAATCTTTCTTACAGAATTCAAGTGAATACATGTAGAAGTAATGAGAAAAATAGAAATTCACCATTAGAATGTCCTAGTTGTAATTGTTTTAGGCAAGATCTCCTGACAAATAGCAAAATTAGAGGTAAAACTTTAAGTCAAACAGAGTATTTTGCATAGCTTCAATATATCTTTCCTAAAACATTTTTTTTTTTTTGGTACCAGGGATCAAACTCGGGCCCTTGTGCTTGCGCAGCAGGCGGCGAAACCACTGAGCTAAATCCCCGGCCCCCTAAAACATTTTTTAATGACTAATATGATTTTAACATTTGTCAGAGTTTTTTGATACTTATTTGAGTTAGAGATTAATTCTCCCAGGGAGTCATGACAACTAAATGTGAAGTGGTATGACAGATCAGATTTTGGAACAGAAGAAGTAACATCAGTGGAAAAACCGGTGTAATTATAATAGTCTATAGTTCAGATGTAGTATAGCAATAATTTTATTTTGCCTGCTATGGTAAATGTACTTGGCTTATGCAGGATGATGGCATTAGGGACACTGTGTAAAGGGTATATGGAAACATTCTGGCTATTTTTGTAATACTTGTATAAATCCAAAGTTGTTCCAAAATATAAAGTTAAAAACAAAGGGAAGGAAGAAAAAAAGACTATGTAGACCAATTAAGGTCTTGGCTTATGCTTCTTGAATTACATTATGAGGAATACTTTTCTCCAGGGTTCATTTCCCTTTGTTTCTCTGTTTTATTTTCTGATTACAAAAGAGAATGTATAGGAAAAAAACTGAAAAGCACACAATTTTTTTAAAAACCTACTTTCTTAATGTATGAAATTGACCACTGAAGGCTGGGGATTTAGTTCAGTGGTTCTGCTGCCTGCCTCGCGAGCGCAAGGACCCAAGTTCTATCCTCAGTACCAAAAGAAAAAAAAAGAAGAAAAGAAAATGACTGCTGATCACATCTTTTTATGTGTACTTCCAATGTTTTTCCTATACACATGCATGATTTTTTTTTTAAATAAAGAGATCATGTTATATAAGAAAGAAAATGGTGTACTTTCGCACCATGAAGATCTAGGTTTCTTTGTGCTAGTTAACTTTTTTTGGATGTGGCTTATTTATACAACAATTTGTTCTTCAAATATTTTTGAGCACTTGTGTGCTGTTCTAGTTTGTAAGGGTACAACATTGAACAGAGCCAAACCCCTTCTGTCATGTAGCTGATGTTCTGGTTATGGGAGATACAGTAAACAAATTCATAGTATGTTGAGGTGAGGCCAGTATTGTGAGGCTGAGTGAAAGGATAGAATAGTGTTTGGAGAAGGAGTTGTGTTATTTTTTGTAAAATTATCAGTGAAGGTGTCTGTAAGGGTGACTTGAAGAAAACATCTATCTGAGTGAAGTGATAGCTGAGGGGATAGCAGCCTCAGCAGAGAGAGCTGCAAGTGTAAGCAACCTTGGAAGAGGTGTCTTGCACGGTCAGGAAACAGCATGGCTGGAGTGATGTAAGCAACTACAAGGTTGTGGGGTTTGTTACTAGTGGAGGTCAACTTGGGCCAGCTGTGTAGGCCATGGTAGGTCTTAAGATTTTACTCAGTTTGAACAGAGAAGTAATGATCTGATTTATGTTTGAGGGAGGCAGATCATAAATGAGAGAACAGGATCCTTAACAGGGTGTCTTTTAGGAGGCTGTTAAAATTGTCAGAAACATTACCTTAGAATTATAGTGGAAACGGTGAGTATGATTTTGAATATATTTTCAAAATAGAGTGGACAGCAGTTACTGATTTGTTCGATATGGTATGACAGAGAAAGAAAAGAGTCATGGATGCTTGCTAGGATTTTGGCCTAATCCATAAGATAAAAGAATTGGCATTTATCGAGATGGAGAATACTGGAGGGTATGTCCCAAGTGGAAATCAAATATTTTGTTATTGACATGTTTGAGGTAACTGACTTGTAGGCAGAGATGTTGAATGAGCAACTAGGATTTTTCTGGACCTAAGGAGAAAATTGAAAGTTGATGGTATAAATTTGATTTGCCAGCATATAAATAGTATTTTAAGACTTTAGATAATATGAAATCATCTAGGGAAGAAGAGGCACAAAGAGAAAAAGATCTCTTAGAATTGCGGGCCAGGGATTTAGCTCAGTGGCACCACCGCACCTGCCTCGCCAGTGCAAGGTCCTGAGTTTAATCCCTGGTACCATAAAAAAGAATTGGGTCTGAGGCCATTTTGTAATTTTGGAAGTTGGTCAGTGAGGAGAGTTTAGTAGGGAGGTGGGGAAAAGAAAGCCAAGAGAAGATGTTTTAAAACATATTGCATAATTATGTACCATCAGATGCTTTTGCTGAGTTAATAAGAAAACCAAGAAATGACTTTTAGGTTTGCCAACAGAGGACCCAGGTGAACTTGGAAGAAAAAGTTTTATTGGTGTGTTGGGCCTGAAAAACAGATTGGAGTAGATTCTGGAGTGAGTCAAGAAAATTTCAGGTCCAGATGATTGCTTTGGTAAATTTTATCATATAGCTGTTTGGAATTTTGCTATGAAAGAGAAAAAAGAAATGGTGCTATTGCTGGAAAAAGACATTATTAACATTACTATTGGCTATAAGTATATTTTGATAAAGTGGCTTCATTTAAAAAAGACTTTTTATAATCTGCAGAAGGCGTTCTAGCTCAGTAGTTAAGAATTGGGAAGCCTGGTATGGTGGGTGGCACATACTTGTAATCCCAGCTACACAGGAGGCCAAGGCAGGAGGATAACAAATTTGCAGCCAACCTGGGCAATTTAATGAGAACTTGTCTCAAAATTAAAAGTCATGGGATATATAGCTCAGTGTTAGAGCACTTGCCTACCACATATGAGGCTCTAGGTTCAATTCCCAGTAACACACACACACACACACACACACACACACAATGAATTGGGATTTGGAGTCAGATAGCCAAGATTTCAATTTGACCCAGCTGTTATATAGTAATGTTACCAGAAGGAAATTTACTGAAATTCTCTGTTTTGTTTCATTATCTGTAATTAATAGTGAAAGCCACAGGATGATTCATAAGGATTAAATTAGATCATTGTACTTTTTGTTACATTTCTTTAGGCCTTACAGGGAAACACTACTGTTTGGTCTTTGATCATTCAGTGATTGAACAGTCTCCATGCTAACACAGTGCTTAATCCACTCATAATTTACATACATGAATTGCATATTCTTCTTGCTTGTATTTATCCAGGAGAAAAGGTAATAATGTGGTTTAAAGTTGGCAATGAACAGTTTTTGTGGTCCTAGGTAGGTGAGAGAAGAGAGGATATGTCTTCATCTAACAATAGCTGCTAGGTCAAGTCATGAAAGGATATTCCTGTTTCCTTGTAGTATGTTTTGGTTTCCTCTCGATTGTCTAGGTGAACTTATAAATGCTCAGTTTTGAAACATTTCATATTAGTTGTGGGTTGAATTGTTTCAGTAAATGGACAGCTTACTTATATTGTCTTTAATCAGGCTTTGTTTTTATGGGTTATGGAGAAGAGAGTTAATGGGTTTTGAGAGCTGCCAAAAATAAATGTAATAGGTGGTGTCCTGGGGCTACAGCTAGGCTTGCTGGTCTCTAATCAAACACTACCTTGGCAGGCTCTTCAGTACTTGCTAAATTCCTATGGTTGGCTTGTTGACTTAAGTTCTTAGAAGTTCTAAATAATAAAAATTTTGGGGTGCGTTCATTTCCATAAAATTCATTGACTAAACCTATAAAATAGTTTAAGTATTATTTTAGTCCTGAAAACTAATCTTACAACCCACAAAAGGGGTGGGCATTTTTTATTTTATTTATTCCTAAGTCTAATTTTCAAGAGTTAATGATCCTAATCCAGTAAAGTTAAATAAAATTTCAGCTTCCCCACTACCTGTAAATTAATAGCAAAGACTGTAATTAACTTAATTTAGGAAGGCGCACATTCCGTAGCCTGTGAAGCATGGTAAGTTAACTGAGCTGTGTAGTTTCCATTTGTCCCTCTCTTTCCTCTGGAGTAAATAGATTCTTTTCTCAAGACTTAAACCAGGGAGAAATTTTTCATGCCTCTTGAAATTAGTTCTTGGAGAAGACTAAGGAAATCATCAGAAATACTAACATGGTAGAGTGGAGGATGGTCACCTTTTTTAATTATGGTGGTGAATGTTTTGAGGTACACTGTTTGAGTCTGTTCTTTCTTCTATTTTAGAGTCTGATGAGGAGAAACCACAACAAATAGTCATACCTAAGGAAGTGACACCAGCCTTGTGTTCACTAATGAGCAGCTATGGCAGTCTTTCAGGAACAGAGAGTGAGCCAGAAGGTGAGTCGTAGCTTCTATTGGTACACTGAGGTGTGTTTTATTTTGTTGCTTTAACCTTTAGTGTATACTGTATGCTAATATCATCCAAGATATGTATTTTTTATTTGAGCTTCAAATTCCTTTTTCATTTGATTCAGAGGTAAAGTTAACATGGTATCAAGGAAAGCTCAAGTAATAGAGAAGCACATATGCTACTCTAGGAGGAAAAGGCAAAGATAATAATATCCACTAATGGGATAAAGAAATTCTAAAAGAAATAGCAAAAACAATTAATTTATTCTCTGCTCTTAGGAACCTTTATTATAACATTTATTTATTATAACACTGTTAGTGAGTGAAGGGAGATCCTTTATACAAAGAGAATGATGTATTTTTTTTAATCGATATAAAATTGCTCTATATAGAGCACATTTACATAAATTATCTAATTTGGAAGATAAGCAACTAAACTTGTGGTTGCATTAAGCTGTATATTTTAAAGATTGGAAGAAAGGAATCCTTTCAGAAATCTTCAGAAGTCAGAAATGTTTAGGATGTATGTCTTACCTTTAAAGATGATGCCACAGATGATAACACATAGGACCTGATTGTGAAGTTTAGGGCCACCTATAAGAGCTATTCAATAGGCTAATGATCTGATGCAGTATGGCGAATTTTAATCTAAGGCTTATATCAGTAATCTAGTATATGTTTAGTGAATAAGCCTGTTTGGATCTGCATTGTCATTTAGGTTTTACCAGCCATTAGATAATTCATGTATATGTATATGTGTATCAGGGGAAAGGTAATCAGAGTAGTAGCCATACTAATGATAAGACGTATCTAGAAGTGTTTATATGGAATGAAGAGAAGATTTGAATGTAATTAGATGAAAGCAGTAATTTAATGTTGACTAGGCTAGAGACAATATTTGTGTAGTTGTTAACTAAGGAATAGTTGGGCTTTAATATGTAACATGAAGTTTATATCTATGAATTTTTCTTTAATGGGCTTATTCTGGTAGCTTGTTAAAAGCTACTTGAATTTTTTTTTTTTTGGTACTGGGGATCGAACTTGGGACCTTGCATTTACGAGGCAGGCGGCAGAACCACTGAACTAACTCCCTGGCCTAAAAGCTACTTGAATTTTGAAACTTAAACTACTTTGGCTTTCTCAGAGTATTCCTTAACAGATGGTTGGCTCGGGTTTTTGTTTTTTTTAATTTTAAGAAAAACAGTATTTCTTACTCTTGTTTCTCATGTACTGATAGGAAGGAGTTACTCTTTAAACACATATTACATTTCTTATCAGTTATATTTGTAACAAGTGATAAGAAATAAAACTGTAATCAGATTACTGGATCCCATAAAAACAAAGAGAACTAATACTTTCTTCTCTCTCTTAAAATGAGACATTTGTTCTTCTTGTGTTCTGTTCTTCATTTTGAGACCACCACCATATTTTATTTTATTTTTTTGGTACCAGGGATTGAACTCAGATCCTTGTGCTTGTGCAGCAGGCGGCAAAACCACTGAGCTAAATCCCCGGCCCCACCACCACCATATTTTATATTGGAAGAAGGAAAGGAGACCAGAATGGATCTTTTGAGATCATGCCTTTGTTTAATAGAATCTTAAGCTTAGACAGGATAAGTTTGCCATGCTAATATGTGGCAGAGCTGATTAAAATCTAGGTTAGGGGATTAAGGTTTTGTCTAAAGAAGCTAACTATATTGTTTTTCCTTATATCCCTTTTGAGGGTGGAATTTACTGATTCCTGAATAGTGAAATTTCCTGTTTTCTTTTGTAAATAACAGGATATCATCTAATAAAATATATATTTGATTTTGTATGAATTCATTTTGACTGTTTAAAATTCCCTGCTATAAGAAAGCCCTTGCTTCATAGTCCTAGATCTTAAAAATTATTTTAAGACTGAACAGTCTTAAAATTATTGCTTAAGACTTAATAATTACTTATTAATTATTAATTACTTAGTAATTACTTTTAAACTTTAATAATGTCTAATAATTCCTAAGCATTATTATATATAGTTTGAGTTCAGCTTTATTAAGCCATCTAGTCACTAGCAAATCAGTGGCCTTTAAGTATTAACTAGACCTCTAGGATGGGATAAATAAGGAAAGAGTCTCTCGTGACTAAAGCAAAGGAAAAAGTTACATATTCATATCTAGAGCTGTCAGAATCTTTAATACATGAATAAGAACAAAAATTCTAATGGGAAGTATTTCCAGATGGCTTGGTCTGCTATCTATACTGGGTCTTGCAGCTCCCTAAAACTGTTTCTTCAAACTGGTTCAGCTATGATAAGGAGACCTCCAAACTGAAAACTGATTCAAAGGCCACAAACTGAAGAATAGTTTGAAAGAACTGAATGGCAATGTTTAAATTTTATTTGAACTGATGATACTTACCTGGGAAATACAAACCTCAAAAAAGAAAAGAATATAAATGATCTCAATTCCTCTTTCTGTAGCAGAAAATTGACATTATATGCTGTGATTCATTTGACTTTTATGTTCCTGGGTTGAGTGATCAATTCTTGAAGAGGTACCAATTGCAAGCCCCAGGCTGTTTTACCTGTGCTTCTGGCAAGTGGCTGTAAGTCAGGGTTCCAACTACCTCCCTCCCCTTATTTGATTGATTTGCTAAAGCAGCTCATAGAACTCAAGGAAGCAATCACTTACATTTATTATAAAGGATATTACAAGTAACCAGTGAATATTACCAGTGAACACTAGGTGAACAGATTGATAGTGCAAAGTATAGGGAAAGGGGTACAGAGCTTCCATACCCTATCTGGTCTCTCCACCCTCCGTGAGTTTAGCTTTTTGAACTGTCCTTTGGCTTTCTATGGTGGCTTCATTACATAGGCATGATTGATTAGCCATTGATGATCAATTTAACCCTTCAGCCCCACTCTCCTCCCTGAAGACGGGGGAGGGGGCTGAAAGTTTCGACCCTATAGTCCTGCCTTAATCTTGTCAGTGACCAACCTCCCTTCCCCCTTCCTGAAGCCACCTGGGGGCTGCCAGCCATCAATATGTGTGGTATCTTCTTCTGTCCTTTTAATTTGTGACAGGCAGTCTTTACTTGATAACTGGGATTTAATCTCAGTTCAGACCATGTAAGGCAAGGACTGTTTGTGTTTTAGTTCAGTTTCTTATAATCAGATCTTGCTCTTTTTTCTCCCAGTGTCACTATCTCTGCCTTTTAAGTGAGGTGTTTAGACCATTTACATATAATGTATTTATTGATATGGTTGATTTTTATTTGTCTCATCTATTTTTGTTACATTTTGCCTTTGAGATTAATCTATATTTGTAAGGCAGTACAAATAATTTGTAAGCTGTCCCTTTTTGTTTAGGTCTAGTTTGGTCTAGGGTGTGTACTTTCAAGTTATATTATTTACCTCATATATAATTTTAGAATTTTTTAGCAGTATACTTAATATTTTCCTCCTGTCTTTTGTGCTATTATCTACATTTTATTTCTTTTTTTTTACATTTTATTTCTAATTACTACAGATGCTGTAAGCCCCACCTCACTGTTAATATTTTTTTTGCTTTAAATAGTCAATTATCTTTAAATTCTTTTCAAACAATAGAAAAATATGTTTTATGTTTGTCCACGTATGTACTGTTTCTCTCATCCATTATTCCTTTGTGTAGATCCAAGTCCCATGTGGTATTATTTCCTTCCCTGGGATCACTTTCTGTAGCTCTTTGTGGTAGTCTCAATTCATGATAGTTATAGCTCCCAACTTGAAAAATATTGGAATGCATAATCTTCTAATTTGGAAAATATTTGAATTGTAAAATCATTTGTAGTTCTAAGTTATTAAGTAGCCAGTGTTATGGCTGTGAGGATTATTATGGCTCTATCTGTTATTTCTCAAAGTTTTGCTTTTTGTGTTTTTGTTTGTTTTTCATTACCCTTAGAAACTCCCATCAAGACTGAAGCAGATGTTCTGGCGGAAAACCAGGTGGTTCTGGCAGAAAACCAGATAAATAGCACTACTCCTAAGAGTCTAAGACAAGATGTTAAAGCAACTGTTAGAAATTTCTCAAGAGCCAAGTGTGAAAACCAACAAAAAGGTTTTAAAAGGACAAATTCTAAGAGGAAAAAAGATTGTCACAACTATCAAACATTATTTGAACCAAGAACACACCATCCATATCTCCTGGAAATGGTAAATGATTTTTCTTTCTGCTCTCTTGTTTGTATTATGTGATAAAGGTGGTGCCACTGGGGTTTTATTATATGTGTTCTTGGTTACCAGAAACACATGACCCTTGAAGACCTGTCTGTATATCTTAATTCTAAAGTTTCATTTAGCTTACAGCTGGTGTTCAGTAAATGTGGAATAATTATACTTTTCAAAACTTCTAAAATTGAAAAAAAGGTTTCTACAAAAATATAAATGTCTGTTGAAAACCAGAAATGATGGAGAGAAAACATCTAGGGTTTACTTTTTTCTTTTTTTTCATCTAGGGTTTTCTAACAGTTCTTATTTCCTGTGTTTGGGGACTGTCTTTACTTTTTCTGTACCTTTACTATTTTATTTTATTTTATTTTTATTTTTATTTTTATTTTTATTTATTGGTACTGGGGATCAAATTCAGGACCTTGCACTTGCGAAGCAGGTGCAGCTCCACTGAGCTAAATCCTTGGCCAGCTCTTGTGATCTAGATTAATTAGATAGAGGCGGTAGCG